TAATGGAGCTCCCAGTAGTGAGCAGAGTTGAAAATGGTGTCCTCATCCCTCTTGGAGGAGTGCTTGCTTTGAAGCCTCAGCCCTGCCTGCTTCAGTCTCTGTCTGCCAAGCTTAACGGAGAACCACGATACCCAACTGGTTGTTGTCTTTGCCACTGCCAATGCCTTTAAAGTTCCATACATCCCTACGTGGAGTGTTCTCTCTTGCTTCCAGAAATCTCTCTTCTCTGTTCCTGTCATCCCCTACACCTTAACCCAAAGTCCCATATACTGGGAAAATGGGTCTTTTTTTCCTACTCCTTTCTTTCTTTTTTTTTTTTTATGGGGCAATCAGTGTTAAGCGACTTGCCCAGGGTCACAGAGCTAAAGAGTATCATGTGTCTGAAGCCAGATTGGAACTCAGGTCCTCCTGATGTCAGGGCCTGTGCTCTATCCACTAAACCACCTAGCTGCCCCTTCCTACTCTCTTCTTTCTCCATTGTTCACATCTGCTGCACCAATCTTGTCGACAAGATGGAGCAATGTGGGCTGGGTGAAAGTTTAGTTGGATAGATGTGGAACTGATTGAATGGCTAGACCCTAAGAGTAGCCACTCTAACTCTGACATTCCATGATTCCTTGACTCTGTCGTGGTTTAGTGTCAACTTGGAAAACAAGAAAGAGTTTCTCCTGAAGGGTTCTGGGAGCTGTCTCTATACTTTTCCACAGTACTGAATGAAGGCACACAGGGCACACATATCCAATTTGCAGGTGACGCAAAGCTCAAAAAAATAAGTAACATAATGTGGAATGACACGCTACAAAATGGCATTAGCAGGCTAGAAGCCTTGGCCAAATTTAATAACATGAAATATAATTAATTAGAAGAAAAAAACAGAAATAAGTCCAACAGAAAGGTTTTAAAAATCAACTTTATATTGCCTAAGATGAGGGAAGTCTGGTAAAATAATTTGTTATTGTTCAGTCGTGTTAGTGGTGTCCTATTCTTCATGACCCATTTGGGGTTTTCTTGGCAAGACTACTGGAATGGTTTGCCATTTTCTTCTCCAGCTCATTTTATAGGTGAGGAACTGAGGCAAACAGAGTTAGGTCACTTAACTCGGTGACTTACCCAGGGTCACCCAGATTTGAACTCACGAAGTGGAGTCTTCTTAATTCCAAGCCCTGTGCTCTATCTACTGCATGACCTAGCCACCCTGGCAAAATAATAGTTTGTGCGAAAACTATCTGAGGGTTTTAGTAGATGGCAAGGCTGATATGAATCACCATTGTGACATACAGTCCAAAAGGCGAGGATTTTGCTAAGAGAGATTTAGTATCATCACTAAGTCAGCCCAGTGCTCTTTTCACTCCCCTATGCTTTATCTGAGCATAGATTTCTGTGCATAGTAGGTTCTTTAAAAAGACAGCATGGTATGTTGAGAAAGAACCCTGAAATTGGAGTCAGAAGATCTGGGTTTGAGTCGCAGCTCTGTGAACTTGGGGAAAGCATTTAACATATGGTTAAATGAATGACCCCAAAATTAAATAGAGGAGCAGACTGTTCTTTCTGCTCTTGGGAAATTGCAAAGTTCTTCAAACAATGTTCAAACTTCTCCTAGAAGCAAAGCACCTTTTTTTTTAAAGCAACATTCTACTAGTAATGTTATATGACTGCAAATTATGAAATACTTTAGTTTCTGAAGAATTAAAAATGAGAATTACTCAAGAAGGCAATAGAGGGGTACATAGTGGGTACAAGGAGTCTACAGCATTTAACACAGTTGGAGACAAAATTGTTGGAGAGTATGTACTGCTTGGGAAATGGTCATTTTTTAAATGACCATATCAAAGCTATAATTTACATTGTATGTCCTTTACCTGGAATCAGCTTCAAGTATTTAGTGAGATGGGACATTCAAGGCTAGGGCTCTGGGCCTCAATTTCCTCTGTGTTCTCTTGCCTCACAGCCCGGAGGTTCAGCCTCAAAGTTGGGGTAAAGATCAATAGCCAATCAGCAAACAAGCATTTATTAATTGCTTACTATGTTCCAGGCACTGTGCTAAGTGCTGGGGACACAGAAAGGCAAAAGCAGGGTTCCTGCCCTCAGGGAGCTCATAGTCTAATAAAGAAAACAACATGTAAACAACTATGTACGTACAAGAGATAGAGTGAAAATAGAAGGACTGCAGAGAGGGGTCACTGGGGGTGTGAAGGTTGTCTGGGAAAGGCCTCCTGCAGAAGGTGGGATTTGAGCTGAGTTCTGAAGGAAGCCAGCGAAGCCGGGACGTGGAGGAGAAGGAGGGAGAAGATTCTGAGGGAAGAAAGAGGAAAGGAATTCCATTGTCTTCTGCCTGCTCCCTGTTCTACCTACCCCTATGTCCAGACCTTTTTTCCACAGTAGGCAGTCAACTTTCTGGGGCTCAGAGCTTTGACTGGCTGTATTTCACTGTATTTCACATCCTGTATTTCACCATTCTTGCCTCTGAAAGTATCCAATGTGAAGAAGTTGAGCAAAGAGAGGCTGAGGTATCAATTGATTCAGTGATGTCCATTGCCAAGAACGTCAGAACTGAAAGGGGCCTTAGAAATCATCTGGTTCAATTGTGCGATGACCAGCTTTGATAGACTTCATTCTTCTCAGCAATACAATGATCTTAGACAATTCCAAAAGACTCATGGTGGAAAATGTTATCCACATCCAGAGAAAAAACTATGGAGTCTGAATGCAGATCCAAGCATACTATTTTCTTTTTTTGTTTGTTTTTTTCTTTCTCATGTTTTTCCCTTTTGTTCTGATTCTTCTTTCACAACATGACTAATGTGGAAATATGTTTAATATGATTATACATGTATAGCCTATATCAGATTGCATGCCATCTCGGGGAAGGGGGAGGGGATGGGGGCAGGGAGGGGGGAAATTTAGAACTCAAAATCTTATAAAAGTGAGCATTGAAAACTAAAAATAAATTAATTAATCTTTTAAAAAAACCATCTGATTCAACCTCTCTGTCCCCCATACTGATCTTACAGAGAAGGAAATACTGTTCCACAATGGCCTGGAAGAGAAGAGTGTTTCTTTCAGATCACAGGCTAGAGATTTCTGTGTTTAGCATCACAGATAATGAGCAGCAGAGTATCCACTATTTAGATTAGTCTCATGGAAGAACTTATCAGTGAATCAGGAATCTTAAACAGTGGAGAGGCCTCCCTCTGTCTGAGATAAGTAAATTAAACAACACTTCATAGAGGCAGGGGATAGACAGAATGTCCTCTAACCATACTTTGAAGCCCAAAGTCTATGACTTTAAATCAATCAGTAAACATTTATTAAATACTTATGATGTGCTGGGCACTGTGCTAACCATTGAGGATACAAAAAGAGGCAAAAGACAGTCCCGGCCCTCAAGGAGCTTACAATCTAATAGGGGAGGAAACATGCAAACAAATATATACAAAACAAGCTATATACAGGATAAATAGTGGATAATTAACAAAAAGACTGCACTGTAATTAAGAGGGGTTAAGGAAAGATTCCTGTAGAAGGCGGTATTTTAATTGGGACTTAAAGGAAGCCAGGGAGGTCAGTAATTGGAGCAGAAGAGTGAGAATGTTCTAGGCATGAGGGCAATCACAAACAATGGCCTTGTTGAGCGTGGTCAGGGTCAGCTCTAGTCTTCTTCATCTCAGCCTGCTTGGAAATGAAGTCATGTATCTAGCCCTTAAATTCCCACCCCATGACCAATCATTGCAATTTCTTTATCATCTTTCTGTCTCTAGCTGTTTCTTTTCATCTCTCCCTCTATGTACTGTCTTCACCCTTTAGGTCATAAGTTCCTTGAGTGTAGGGACCCTCTTGTTTTTGTATCACCAGCACTTAGCTCAGTGTCTGGAACATAGAAGTGCTTAATAAATATTCTATCCATCCATCCATTTATCCATTTGTCTTCCTGTCTATCCATTCATCTACCTAATCTCCCCCCTGTTATAAAGAAGACCTCAGACTCAGTTCCAAAGACTGGTGCTCAAAGACTTTTTTATTAAAGAGGTTGAAGTGCATCTTCTTCGATTCTCTTGAGAAGTGGGCACACCTCCTTTGAAGGGGAGAGTGCACCCGAGTACAGAAGCCAGAGCAAACTTTATAGTTAGTAATTGCCTAACTCCTCCCTTCTGAATTAGGATTGGTCCTAATCCTTCTGGGTTACAATCTTCCTTACACGCCCCACCCTTAACATACATTATGCTACTAGAACTGTGTTGTCACTCCCTCTCCCGCCTCCCCACCAGGGAGAAGTTAGCCTGTCTGTGCTGATTTCTTATCTACTTACGTGGAAACTTAACTCTTCTATTTCTCGCACCTCCCTCCTTCGATCTCTCTCTCTCTTTCTCTCTCTGTGTCTCTGTCTCTCTCTCTCTCTACCTCTCTGTCTCTCTCTCTCTGTGTCTGTCTGTCTCTATGTCTCTATCTCTCTATCTCTCTCTATCTCTCAGTCTGTCTGTCTCTGTTTCTCTGTCTCTCTATCTCTGTCTCTGTCTCTGTCCCTTTCTCTCTCTTTCACACACACACACACACACACACACACAGACTCACACACACACACACACACACACACACACACACACACACACTCCCCTTGGAGGGATTGGGGGAGCCTTATTAATCTGGAGGGAAACTTGGCACCAGAAGGCAAAACCAAGATTAATGAGTAGAAGTGGCAAATGTAGGTATAAACTAAAGTGAATCTTCCCAATATTTAGAGTTGTCCCAAATGAAATGGGCTACATTGAGGAGTAGGTTTCCTCTCAAAGTCTTCAAGCAAAGGCTGGATGACTTCTCTTCTGGCATGTTGTAGAGAGAATTCATTTTCAGATGGGAGTTGGATTAGACAACCCTGGGGGTCCCCTCTTCCTTAAAGATTCCCTGATGTATCAAATGGATTGGTCAGAGCAGCCCTGGGGGAAAGGGAGGATCCAGAAAAAGGAAGCTTTTTCTCCACCAAGTTTCATTGTACTTTTCAACAGAGAGACGATGAGGACGGAAAGAGTCTTAATGAAGAAGATGAAATAGAATATAATGAGAGACAAGAGGAAGCTGAAGAGCCGGCAAAAGAATAAAAGGTCGGGATTTAACTCCATTCTAAAACAACCGTCAGAAGACTTTGCCTTAACATGATACAGTTCATTCTTTTTCGTTTGTTATCATTTTTATTTTCAGGTCTAAATTCTCTCCCTTCCTCTAGCTCTTCCCCCACCCATTGAAAAGGCAAAAAATACAATAGCCATTATACATATGAAGGTGTGAAAAAACATTTCCACATCAGCCATGAATGTTATACAACTAAGCAGTGCCCCTATTTTAAGGGTGGGGACCCAAGACAGGCAAAAGAGTATGGGGGAGCTGGGTATAGGTCAGGGGACCTGCCTGCCCTTCTCCCTTAGGAAGCCTGAATTGCTGGAGTTAGGATGCAGGAGGAGCAGACCCTTGACAGAAACTGTTTAACAACTTTTCTTAGTGTAGCAGTTCTCCAACTTTTTGGCCTCAGGACTCCATTACACTCTTAAAAATGATTGAGGACCCTCTCTCAAAGAGCTTCTATTTGTGTGGGTTATGTCTATCAATACTGGCCATACAAAGTAAGTGTCAGAGGGGCAGCTAGGTGGCATAGTCAATAGAGCACCAGCCCTGGAGTCAGGAGGACCTGAGTTCAAATCCAACCTCAGACACATAACACTCACTAGCTATGTGACTCTGGGCAAGTCACTTAACCCTAACTGCCCTCACCAAAAAACAAAAAAGTAAGTGTCAAGGTGTGGACCCAGGGCTTTGGATGCCAAATCAGCTACAAGACTAGACAAAATAAGGACAAGATTTTTCGCTAAGTTGCATAAAAAGCAGCATTCTTGTATTTGATATCTACTGCCCCCTTACCTCCTCCCCCTCCCCCTCCCTGCCCTCTCCATTATAGGGCGTTTCCTGCAGGGAAGCCACCATTATCAGCTCTCTCCAAACATCTTCATAGTGAGGTCTTTTCAGAAGTTTTGACACCTCATCTCCTCTCATTGAAAGGGAAGAAGGAAACGAGCATTTATTAAGTGTGTACTATGTATCAAGCAGGCAACTAGGTGGTGCAGTGGATAGAACTGGGCTTGCAGTCAGGAAGATTCATCTTCTTCACTTCCAGTCTAGCCTCAGACACTTACTAGCTGTGTGACCCTGGACAAGTCACTTAACCCTGCTTGCCTCAGTTTCCTCATCTGTCAAATGAGCTGGAGAAGGAAATGGCAAACCACTCCAGTATCTTTGCCAAGAAAACCCCTAATGGGATCATGAAGAGTAAGACATGACTCAAATAATTGAGCGACAACAAAATGTGCTAAGCACTTTTTTACAAATGTGATCTCATTTGATCTTCACAACAGCCCTGGGAGGTGGGTGCTGTTATAACTCCCATTTTACAGTTGAGAAACTTGATGCAGACAGAGGTCAAGTGACTTACCCAGGGTCACACAGCTAGTAAGTGTCTGAGGCTGGATTTGAACTCAGGTCTTCATGATTCCAGGCCCAGTGCACTGTGCATTATGGTAGCACCTAGCTCCCTCCCTCATTGGAATGGCCAGGTTTGTTTTCCAGTTCTAATACTGAATTGGTCACCCGAGAGTTACTGGGGAAGCTCTTCCTTCCCTTGGGAGCAGGGACAATGAACTGAATCACAGGGTCCTCCTTCCTCTTCCCCCCCAAAAGCAGGCAGTTAACACCATATGTATATGACACCATAGCCATATGCTATGTGGGGATATAGACAATTGAGACCCATGATTCTCTTAAGGACTATATTTGCACTAGTGCAGAGAATAATAATTTTTGGGTGCTGCTTGCATGGGGGTGATGCTTGGGTGTATAACTAGTGAGCATTTTTTTTTTTGGTGAGGCAGTCGGGGTTAAGTGACTTGCCCAGGGTCACACAGCTAGTAAGTATCATGTGTCTGAGGTTGGATTTGAGCTCAGGTCCTCCTGAATCCAAGGCCGGAGCTTATCCACTGTGCTACCTAGCTGCCCCAGGAATTTTTTTTTTTGCATGACTTCAGTAACATGTATATGGCCTTCTAAGTTTCGCAGATCTCTTTACATATCCCACTTAATCCTCACAACCATGAGAGGTAGGTTTTCTTGTTATCGCCGTTTTGCAGGAAACAGAGGCTGAGAGTGGATTTGGCCATGGTTGAATTCAGGTCTTATTGAGGCCAAGACCAATACTCTATGTGTTATACCACCAGCTGCTACCATTCAGTAGATTTGTTATCACCATTCCCAGCAATCTCCAAAGGACTTTCTTGCCTAGGTGGTTCCATGGTGCACAGAGCACTGGGCCTGGAGTCAGGAAGACCTGAGTTCAAATCTGGCCTCATACTAGCTGTGTGATGCTGGGCAAGTCTCTTCACCTCTATTTGCCTCCTTTTCCTCAACTGCAAAATGGGGGCAATAACAGCACCTATCTTGAAGGGCTGTTGTGAGGATTAAGTGGGATATTAAATATAAAGTGCTAAGCAAACCTTAGAGGACTATATAAATGTTAGCTATTATTATTATTTGCACTAGTGCAAATATGGTAGGTTGTTCTGAAAGTCCCTAAGGGAATCCACGAGTCTCATTTGTCTACATTCTCACATAATGAGATAATATTTTTAAAGATCTTAATACAATATGCCTGGCATGTAGTAGGAACTTAATAATAATAATAATAATTGCTATTATTATTCCCTTCTCCCCCACCCCAACCCTCCTTTACAATTCTTCTCTTATCCTAGAACTTTGTCCTGTTTTCATTTTGAGGCATTCTCTGGGATTTAGGAAGCTTTGTTATATAGAGAATTTCATTGTGTTGTAATGGTATTCATGGAATGAGCACATGAATGCTGATTCAGAGCCCTCCTTCCCACAGAAGAGCATAGAAAAGTCTATATAAGATGTCTCCCAAATGCAAGGCAGTCTCATTATTATCTAACACAGGACTAATACTGTGAGCTTACGCTACCAGCTAACACATGTTTTTTCTCCCTCACCTGCTTTGTCACCACCCAGTGCAATGGAAACCTGGTGATCATTTTCATCAAAAGCCTCCAATAAGAAAATCAACAGTGGTGTTTGTTCTGAGACAAGGAGCCTCATGGGGGGGAGAAATAACAGCCCCACCACTCTGGTGGGTGTGGAATGTGGAATAGAATGCAGAGACCCATCCAAGGGACCGGCATCTCCAACAAGAATCTGCAAGAGGCATGTCACCCAAACACAGCCAGCCAGTCCAGACGGCTACCCAGCCTCCCTTTATTTATTCATGTACCTATTTTGTTTCTGTTTTGTGTTTTTCCCCCCTTTGGATCGTTTCCAGTTAATAGACAAAACCAATATGTTTCCTACTCAACTACTGATTTTTTAGTCTTATGTCTCTGGCTGACAATTATACAAATATATTTACTGTTGGAAGAATCTGGCCTACTTACTTTACCGGGGGGATGTGACCTCTGTCTTTAAATAGTTAAAGTATTGACTAGTGGAAAAGGGATTAAACACGGTCTTCTTGGCCTCTGAGAGCAGCCTTTGAACCAATGGGTGGAAATCATAGGAAGAAAGAATTCAGCTCAGTAAGTAGAAGAGCTTTCTCACAATCAGAAATGTCCAAAAATGGAACAGATTATCTCGAAAGGTCTTGAGCTCTCCAGTACTGGCAGAAGCAAGAGGATCACTTGTTGGGGATCGGCTCTTGTAGAAGAGATTTGTGCTTTTCAGTGGGGTTTAGACTCCGTGGCCTCTGAGGTCCTTTACAGAGCTAACACTACATAATTCTAAGATACTGAGACTGGCCTATTAGATAAGGATCAGGAAGGGTCAGGAAGACTCCATTCCAAGTCTTGCCTCTAACACTGGCTCTGGGACTTTACCAAGTCACTTAATCACTGAGGGCATCAGGCACAGCTCATGTGTGGATCTCACTGATAGGGAAAGTTTTCTTAATAAGAATTTAGTATAACAATGAAGTCGCGAGTCTGATGTACAAAAATAAAGTAATATAAAAAAGATACTTCTGATGATTCTAATCAGAATAGTCCTAGGTGCTCATGGATCCTAAAGCAGACATTTTTTCCCTATTCATTTATTTATTTTAAAAGTTTGGTTGACATCTTTTGCTGTTATATTGCATCATTTCTACCTAGGTGACCCTGAACAAGAAACCTAACCACTTATTTCTGGATACTGCTCCAGCTGCACTCCCGATTGCCCGCCCTGTGTACCTCCCCTTATAACAGAGAAAAACAACTGGGCAAAACAAACCAGCACAGCAGGGCTGTCTGATGATATATGCAACACGCCTTGACCATAGGCCACCACCTCAACAATGAAAGGGAGAAAGTACATTTCTACAGGAACAAAGATTGTTTATTACAATTACCAAAAATGAGCTTCGCTTCTCTTTAGTGTTCAAAGCAGGTGTTTGACAAAGGATTCTTTTACCTGTTAGGAGCAAAATAAACGTGTTTTTAGAGGTGAAGGTCACATAAGCAGTATTTGCCTCTTAACTCCAGGCCTGGTACTGTATCCACCTAGAGCAGCCCTGATGTACACCTGACCCTACATGAGGTAGTAACTCTCAAAATACTGATTAATTGAGTCAGGCAGGGTATTCCAGTGGAAAGTGCACTGGGCCATCGTCCAGTAAGGACACCTGGGTTCTCATCACGGCTTAACCACTTACTAGCAGTGTAACCAGGACAAGTCACTTTCCATCTGGGCCTCATCTTTCTCGTTAGCAAAATAAGGGATTTATTCTAGGTGGTCTCTAAGGTCCCTCCCAGCTCTAAAAACAAATCATACATTCTCTCTTTTAGCTTTTCTATGATTCCATGGGCTCACTGAACTGAGCTAAAAGTGGGTATTTTATATTAATGACACTCATAATAGCTAGCATTTATTATAGTACTCTAAGGTACTAGGTGGCACAGTGGATAGAGCACTGGCCCTGGAGTCAGGAAGGATCATCTTCCTGAGTTCAAATCTGGCCTCAGACACTTACTAGCTACGTGACCCTGGGCAAGTCACTTAACCTAGTTTACCTCAGTTTTCTCATCTGTCAAATGAGCTAGAGAAGGAAACGGCAAACCACTCCAGTTTCTTTGCCAAGAAAACCCAAAACAGGGTCACAAAGAGTTGGACACAACTGAACAATAAAGGTTTGCAAAGCAGTTTACATATGTGAACTCATCTGATCCTCACCACAAACCTGGGACATAGATGTTATTATTCCCATTTTACAGATGAGAAAACCAGGGTACAGAGAGGTAAATGATTTGCCCAGGATCACGCAGCTAGTAAGTGTCTGATGACATACAACCATGTCATCATGTGGTCCACCCATGGTTCCCCACCTCACCAAGGAAAGGAAAGAGGCACATTTCCCAAAAGTTTTGAAGTGGGGTCTTACTGACTCCAAGTCTTGCACACTATCCACTGTGCCACCTAGCCTTGGAGGTTGCTGTCAACACTCTCTAAATGTTGTTTGTGAAGTAGCAAGACTTTCCAGGTAGGGTAACCACTATTGTGACTTCTGGGATGGATTTTGTGGGATCCTTTTGGCCCTTAGGCCTCCAAATCCTGGAGGGCTACTTAGGTTATAGCTAGGCCTACCATTTCCATTCTTCTTTCTCTCTCTCTCTCTCTCTCTTTTTTTTTTTTGTGATGCCGTTGGGGTTAAGGGACTTGCCCAGGGTCACATAGCCAGTGTGAAGAGTCTGAGGCCAGATGTGAACTCACGTCCTCCAGGGCCAGTGCTCTCTACTGTGCCACCTATCTGCCCCCATTCCTATTCTTCTTAAGAGAAAACAAAAAGGAAATTACTTTTTAAAAAATCTGATTTTTATTGATAACTTTTGTATTTACATCACTTTCATTCAGGGATGCCAGCTCAAACCAGCATAGGAAAGTTGATTGTTAAATATTCAATGAGAACATTTACTCTTTGAAAATCATTTAATGCTACAAATCAGGATTTGACTTATTTGTTGATTTCCAGATTTAAGAAAGTGGCGGAGTAAGTGCTAATAATGCAGATTGGATTTGAAAGTGAGAGAGCTGGTTGTTAAACATTTCTCAGAACACTCTGGCTTAACTTCTGACTATGTCACCCTTCCTCCACCCCTTATGTTTACCCAGCAAGTCATCCCATGTAACAAAGAGCAAAAAAGAAGAAAAATGGCAATTCAGCAAAACTAGCCAATGCCACCCACAATCACATCTGACAGGACATGCAGTATTTTGCACTGATAGTCTTCCACCTCTGCAAAGAAGAGCAGAAGGTATAGTTTCTTAACCCTTCTCTGGGGTCAAGTTTGGTCATTATAATGATAGATATTTCAGTTTCTTTATTTTTTCCATTTCCATTTCCATTACATTTCCATTATATTACATTTCCATTACATTAACATTTACGTTATTATAGTCATTGTGTACAGTGTTCCTGGTTCTACTTAACTTCCCTCTGTATCAGTTCATCTAAGTCTTCCCATACTTGTCTGAATTCTTTATGTCCATAATTTCTTATGGTAACATAATATTCCCTTGTATTCATGTGCTACTATTTGTTTAACCATTCACAAGTGAATTCTTCATGTTCATAATTTCTTAAGGCACAGTAATAGTCAACAAGGATTTATTACTATGGTGCCAGGCACTGGGATAAGATTGGTAATAGGATATTTGTTTAACTGTTCCCCATGGATGGACAGTAATTTCCTTTATTGACACAGGTAGTCTCCTGTTTCCAGTTGCCCAGATCTCTGCATTTTTTCTCTAACTCTGCAAAGGAAACAGGTAGCTATTCCCAATCCAGCCAGCAGGTGGGACCTTCCTCCCACGAACACCACAAGGTTAAAGACTGCAATGTTGCCGCTGCCGTGTGGGATCTCGTACCACCTCTATCCAGGTAGTGTGATTTTAGGGACAGTGATTTCATTTAAAAAGAGTGTTCCTCCCCCTTACCCCCAACCTGTTCATAGAATCATAGTTTTAGAGCTGGAAGAGACTTTAGTGATAATCTAGTTCAACCCCTCCTTCCCCTCCCAATTTACCACTGAAAAGGAAAAGAATCGAGTTAAGTAACTTGGGCAGCTGGGTGGCACAGTGGATAGACAACTGGGCTTGGAATCAGGAAGACTCATCCTCCTGAGTTCAAATCTGGCCTCAGACACTTACTAGTTGTGTGATCCTGGGCAAGTCACTTGACCCTGTTTGCCTCAGTTTCCTCATCTGTGAAATAAGCTAGAGAAGGAAATGACAAATCACTCTAGTGTCCCTGCCAAGAAAACCCCAAAACGGGTCATGAAGAGCTGGATTGAAACAACTGACCAAAAACAACTATTATGTATGTCATCATATTTTGTCATTATTGTTGGGGCAGCTAGGTAGTACAGTGGATAGATAGCTGGGCCTGAACTCAAAAAGACTCATCTTCCTGAGTTCAAATCCGGCCTCAGACACTTACTAGTTGTGTGATCCTGGGCAAGTCACTTGACCCTGTTTGCCTCAGTTTCCTCATCTGTGAAATAAGCTAGAGAAGGAAATGGCAAACCACTCTAGTATCCCTGCCAAGAAAACCCCAAATGGGGTCAGAGACAATGAAAATAACTAAACAGCATACCTCCTCCAGATTTCCCTGTATTTGTTGAGGATACCACCATCCTTCCAGTCATTCAGGTTTAACTTTTCATTCTTTCTATCCCCTCTATCCAACCAATTTCTCTCTTACCTGTTCTACCACCATAACATCTCCTCACATCTGTCTTCTCCTCTCCATCCACACTGCCAACCCATAATGCCCTGTTTCAGGTCCTCAGCACCTCTCGTCTGGACTATTGAAAAATTTTCCTAATTTGACTTTCATCAGTCTTTTTTTTCAGTTGTGTCCAACTCTTTGTGAACCCATTTGGGGGTTTCTTGTCAGAGATAGTCGAGTGGTTTGCCATTTCCTTTTCCAGCTCATTTTACAGATGAGGAAACTGAGGCAAACAGAGTTAAGTGACTTGCCCAGGGTCACACAGCTAGTAAGTGTCTGAGATCAGATTTGAACTCAGGAAGATGAGTCTTCTTGATGCCAACCCCCACCCTCTATGCACTACGTTGCCACCTAGCCACCCTTTTGACCTTCATAGGACCACAGATTTAGAACTGTGACTTTAGAAACCATCAAACGTAAGTTTTTCATTTTGCAGATGAAGAATGTGAGACAGAGAAAAGTTAAGTGCCTTCCTAAGCTCATACAACTAATAAATGTCTGAGCTGTGTTTGGAGCTCTGGTCCTGCAGACTCCAAGTTCAGTGCCCTATCTACTACATCATACTGCCCCTCTCTAGAATTTTTAATTCTCGTTTTCCAGTTTTCCCCCTTCTCCAATCCATCTTCCATGCAGTTGCCAAAACAGTCTCATCAAACACCCTGGTCAACAATATTCAATAGCTCCCTACTATCCCTAGGATGAAGCACAAACTCAACTTGATATTTAAAGCCTTTGACCGACTAGTTCCACACTCTTTCCACATTTATTTCCTGTTACTTCCCTCTATTCCAGCAAGCTTTGCCTTCTTGTTATTCCCTAGACCTGGCATTCCATCTGTGGTCCTGTGCTTTTTTATCATCCTGTACTCCTTCCTTACCCCTGCCTCTTGAAATTCTTAGCTTCCTTCAAGGCTCAATTCTGATGCCACCTCTTACAGGAAGCCTTCCCTGATATAACGACTTCTTAGTGTTTTCTCTCTCTTCCAACTATATGATGCTTATATGTCCATGACCAGGGTCCATACTAGGGTGCCCAAGCCAGACTTGGCTCTGGATTGTC